TGCCCATCCAGACCTATGGCTTTGTTTGTGTATCTGCTTGAGGTATTCTCTCGCCTTGGACGCTCCTTGACACACAGAAGGCCAAACTTTCTCAGGAACAGCCCCTCCATGGTTGAGGGAGAAGCACTGTTGGACACACACCCAGCTTCCTGGCCCTTTGGGAAGCCATCTTTGTGAATTCTATGCCATTGCATCTCAATATTTATCCCGGCCTCTTCCCCCGGGGAAAGATTGCTAAGTCTCAGATTGCTGGGCCCTCTGCCGGGACTGATTTGGTTAGCCTGGTGGGGCAGGAAGGGGGATAAGATTTGCATTTCTAACAAGGTCAGAGGCTTCCTGAGGGATTCGTCCCACTTGTGGAAGGTTAGCCTGTCATTAGCACTCACTTGATTGATTTCCTTCACTGTCTCCCATTGACCGTCATCCTGCCTCTTAGCCTCACACCCCAAATGGACTGTTTGCACCCACATTCTTATCTGTTTTGCATTGGACAAACCGTAAGTATGGTAGCTACTGAGGCCCCTGTTTATCTGTAATGAGGGGACAACGGGGAAACTATTTTGGAATTACCGTCAAAAATACAACAGACAAGACTCACATGAGGGACCCTAGGTTAAAATGGCAGCAGGTACCTTATACCTGATTCCCCTTCCCTCTCTTCAAAACATCTTGAAAATATTCATAGAACAAGAAAGGAAAAACTCAGCAGGTGTGGAAACTTGCTTTTGATTCACCCTTTCATGAACTTGGGGAAGAATTCTCAACAGTCACATGGAGATGGAGCCCATTTGGGCAAGAAGTCAATGGACCAATTCCACCTTCCTTCTCATTAGGTTTCCTCCTCGGTGAGAAAATATTAGTTATTATTATTGTTGTGGCATTGTCTTGAACAGTTAGAAAAATGTAGTTACTGTCACTGTTTATGCTGCTGCTACTGTTATTTCAGAGTGAATCTCTCTGGCCTGAAATGCTTGGGACCAGAAGTATTTATGATTCCTTTTTTTGAATTTTGGAATAATTGCCTATACATAAGGCTAGTCTCATCTTAAAGATGGGACTCCAGTGGAAACACAAAATTTATTTATATTTTATATATACTTTTACACATACCCTGAAAGTAATTTTATACAATATTTTAAATAATTTTGGTCATGGAAAAAAAAAGTTTCCTGGTATGAAATTTTCCACTTGTGGCACTAAAAAATTTTCAGATTTTGGAGCAATTTAGATTTTAGATTTTTGGGTTATGAACGCTCAACCTCTATTATTATACCATCTTTGAGGAGTTAATGTTACTTATTATGATTGACTTTATTATTGATGTCATCGTTATTTTTAGGTCCTGGGGGGAGGGGGATCCGCAGAACCCATAAAATGAATATAAAATCCTATGCCTTTTACTGGGGACCTATCCATAGCTTTTATCAGATCTTTCAAGGAATTGCCAGAGTCCTAAGTTCCTGTGTTTTGGAGGGTGTTTTAGGTCCATGGGAGTCGGTGAGATTACAGAGAAAAATAGTTTTATGTGCAGATTGCTAAGAGAAAGTTCACAGGAGAAAGCTTACACTTTGGGGCTAGGACAGGTGCCCTGTTGTGGACAGCAGAGGTAGGAAACCATCCATAAAGGGAGGTGGTGTTGGACTCTCTAGAAAAGGTAAAGATGAGAGGGCACCATGTGCTAGAAAGGGAGGAAGGAGGGTTGGGAAGCATCTAGGTGGCCCAGGCACTGTAGAAAGGAGAACAAGAAACAGCAAATGCCTACAACTCTTTTAGAAAGGTGCCCATCCAAAGGGCCTGGGGGAGACACACTGGAGTTACAGAGGAGGAGAAGAACAGTGGGGGAGGGAGAATTAATTCTTCAATATTGTTGACTAAAAAAAAAAAAAGGCAGAAATGTTTATGGAAACCTATGATTCTGCCATCTGTTTTAAACATGGAAACTGAGGCCCAACAACTAATTTGACCTCCTGCTTCACTTAAGCATTAAGCCCAGAGCTGAAATGGCTTTGGGTCATCTTTTTTTGGAGTAGATGTACCACTGCATGATATTTCTTAGAATAGCCAAGAAGTCTTTTTAGTCACCAATGCCGACCTTCCCAGACCATAATGCTGGATTAACATTCTTTCACAGGGCCCTTTCATAGGATCACATGTCAGGGTGCAAGGACCCCAGGAAGGAGAGATGTGATCAAAGTGAGTGGACGAATCAGGTATCAGGGGTCTCCCTCAATCCGAGGCAGGAAGCTGCACGCATGGGGTGCCTGGGGTAATGAAGAGAAATGGCCCAGCAAGTGGATGAGGCAGACAGCCCCGCAAGAGGTGCCCACTGACATCTTGCCTAGAGATGGTTTGTGGGATGATACCCACATTTTGATGTCTTCATCTGTCCTCTAATGACCAGATGAAGATGGAATGTTGGTGCAAATTTGTCAGCCCTGGAGAGCAGGGAACCTGTCCAGATGGACAGAATGAGTAGGTAGGAGGTATGGGCAAAGCCACCCAGTGGCCTAGCTGTGACGGGCACATCCGTCTGTGGGGCGTATGGGAAGGGCAGCAGAAATGCACATACAGACAGGGAGTTCGTGATTCTTGGCTCTAGCGGAAGCTACTGCACACATCTGTCCTCTGTCTGTCCCCACATTGATAGAGACCGGAAATGGGCTGGTAATCCAGACATGGGGACTGATGGTGTGAGGACGTTAAAACAAAGGGACAAAAATGTTATAAGCAAAAATAAGTCAGAAACTCCAAACAGCAGAAAACCAACTACCAAACCCTCAGGAAGGTTTTTTTATTCCCAGTATATGCTCATTATCTTTGGAACAATGTATCTCTCCCATAGTTGAGCACTTTCTAACTCCCTGATACTGTCCTACAATTATCCATATTGGAGAGACAGTGGAGTCAAGGAAGAGATGTTGGGAAGGACAGAAAGGAGGCCAAACTGCAGCCGGACGCAATAGAGACGGGAGGGGAGGGTGATCCTGTGGTGACAAAGTGACTTAGCCCTCCTAGGAAGCACAAGGTCGTCTTTACCCAGTGACAATCAACCATCATGGATCACAAAAATGTAAGAGAGAAAACTAGGAGCTGATCCAAACAAATCTATCATCTATCAAGCTTTGGCATGAATAAAATGTATCCGGTTTATCATTCATTCTTGTTTACCAGAATGCCAAACCTCACCAGCTGGAATATCCTATTTTAAGTAGCATCCCATTTCAATCTTCCAGAAGCAAGGCCTGCAGTCTTTGCAGGTTAGAATTCAGTACTTGTATCAGTCAGCCTTTCCATTACTACAAGGAAATAACCTGAAGCAGTTTACCTTATAAAGAAAAGAGGTTTCCTTTGGTTTATGTTTCCGGAGGTGCAAAGTTTAAGGGCCTCATCTGATAATCACCTATTTGCTGGCAAAATCCTGAGGCCGCACAGGATGTCATATGGCAAGACACAGGGAATTTGCATGTCTATGTCTGTGTTTTTTTCTCTCCCTGTCCTTTGAAAGCCATCAGGACTCAATCGCTGGGGCTTCACATGGTGATATGATCCAATCCACTTTCCTCATGTCCCACTTGTACACACCATAGTCAGATTAAGTTTCCAACCTCTTAAGGCCATTAACATATTATATTGGGGGATTAAACTCATGCATGAGTTTCAGGGGGACACACCAGGGTCACAGCATAGCAGTGTTTTAAATAGCGTCTTCTTCTCTGGATGCACAGAAGAAAGTATCAGAAATGAATTTCCAAAACCAAACTAACTAAAATGTCATTGCGATGTTTTCACCATCTGAAGGGATATTGGCAAGTTTACTGGTTCAAGTCCCGTGACAAGGTTGGTTCTTCTGTACAAAGAATGTGTCAGCGCCACGTCCTCAGGACTAAGAAATGTTGGGTGCTTAGAGACCAGCAGTGCACACGGGAACTTTCAGAACAAACTCGGTTTCCGTTCAGCATTTTTTAAATTTTTATTTGTTCTTTTTAGTTATACATGACAGTAGAGTATATTTTGACATATTTATACAAACATGAAGCATGCCTCATTCTAATTAGGATCTCAGTCTATTTGGGACTGACAGCTTCTGATAAAGGATGGTCACAAGTCTGGGCTCAAATGAACCTGAGTCAAATGTTCCCTTGAGGACAATTTGTTCGCTATTTTGTAGTCCCCCAGCTCTGAAAGCAGGCTTGTTACCATGTCCCATCTTGGGGGAATTGGTGAGAAACAGAGGAGAACACAAGTAGAACTCCAGTCTCACGACCTGGTGCCTAGTAGGTCCTCAATAAAATAACTGAGTGGTTATACATGACAGTGGAGTAGATTTTGATATCTATAAATATAAATATTTTGAAAAATATTTATATTTCATCGGCTACCTTTTTCTTTCCATTTAATCATTAGCAAAGTCTCTCCAAAGAGCATATTTATTTTAAAGCATAACTTGAAGACATTGAATTTGAATTTAATAGCCAGGTCGAGGCTGTGTCTTCTTCTTTGTATTTAAAATCAACACAAAATGACTTTAAAGGAGGTTTAAACTAAAATGAGATAAGCTGAGCTTAAAGCCACTGCTTTGAGACCTTTGGTGTTGCCTTAGGAACGTCGAGAGGGAGCCAGGCTAAGTCTGGATGGGGTGGAAAAGAAAAGGAGAGAGTGGAGAGGTGGGGAGCAGAGGAGCGGAGGAAGCCATTCCCCTCAATGCAGCAAAAATGCTGTAAGGAAATGGGGCCGTCTCCCCACCCTGCCCCGGGATGACTTGCACTGGTGGGCGGGATGAGGGACCTACAGGGACCTCAGCGCCGTTTGTCCAGCTGAGCCCTCCTGTCCTGTCTGCTTTTCCTAACACCACCATTTGAGAAAAAAAGGGAAACCTGATTTTCATTCAGATTAGTGCTTTTTATTTTTCTGTTTCTGAATGTTGCATCAGGAATGAGGAATCCTGGAAATTAATTTTAACCAAATACATCCACTTTCTCCCTTTTTTTTTTTTTTTTTTAACTGTGTTCATCTTTTCTATCTGATCCTGCCCTCACTTCCTGGGCAAGAAGAGAAATATTAGTTCTTTCAGTTTTAAAAAGTAAAAAGCCACGGACGGAATCATGCCCTTCTCCGGTTCTTAGCATTCCGGAATGCACCTGTGTTAAAATATGAAGAAATAAAACAAATATAAATTATGCATTTTCCAACTTAATTTAAAATGCATTATACTCTGCTTTGTTCTCTGGAATTAGTCTTATTAAGGGGACAGATCTGTATGGATTAATTTTGAGTCAGTTTATTCACTTCTTTGTAATTCAGTGGCAAGAATTTTTGTCCCCAGGCATCAAATTAATTTTTTTTTTACTGTAAGTAACACATACAAAATATAGACCTCTTTGTGTTATTTCTTTGTTTACCTAACATGCAACATATTTCCACATTATGTTTTCACCAAACCTTAAATCTCTCCCTTTAAAGAAGAAAACTTTCCAAATGATTTTTTAAAGCAATATAGCCATTGTCACAATATTGGAGTTGAACACAATCATTGCATTATCCCTTTTGCTGATTTTCATTTATATTAAAGACCTGCATGGGTTCCTTCCAATCCAAACTCTGAGACTACCAGCTCCAGACCCCTGCCTTTCCAATCATTTTGGCAACATGTGAACTGATATTTTACGGCTATTTAAAATATGTACCAAATCATCATTTTTAAGTATTGTTTTAGTACAGTAATTCTTTGTTCCGCTTAGACGTTTTAAATCTTTATTTTTTTTTCCCCCTAAACCAAGCAAGGAAATCGTCTGCATTCTTAATTAGTCTTCTTTAAACAAAATATCCTTTCATATGCACTAATAAAGACTAAGGATCTTTCCTCTCTTGTTTAAATAACTGCTTGCTGTAGTATAAAATTGTAAGAGACACGATGCAGATCAAGTTGCGGGCTTGAAGTGGGGAAGAAGAACAAGCCGTGCCATAATAAGCAGATTTTAATGATTTACTATAAATCAGCATTTTTGCCCTGTCAGTGAGATTGAAGAGGCAGACAGCTCCTCACATGTCTGCCGAGCAAATGTCTTCGTGATGAATCATGTGCACTGAATCACTGATCACAACATTCAAACGGCACATCCAAATAATGAGGGAAACATATACACAGGCTCCCAATGGCTGCTCGGAGGCAGCAGGAATATATGTTTTTTCGTTGTGTGGTAGTTAAACCCTTCCATTGATCCTCGGAGGATCCCACGGAGGGTAATAGAAGTGTATATTACCGGGTTAACCGTTGATGCCCGAACAGAGGCTGATTTGCATAAATGCTCTCTCCCCACCCCCCCAGGCTTTTGATGAGAATCTAATCTGGTCTTGAGAAGAAGGGAGGGGATTTAAAAAAAAAAAGAAAAGAAAAGAAAAGAAAGACAGGGTGTATTAATGAACCTAAATGTAAAGAATTTGGTGGCAGAAACCAATAGAGATTGGAGCTAATTTCTGCTGGGTGAAAGGCTCATTGGGTCTGGGTGCAGCTCTTTCCAATGCCCCCCTCCCACAGCCCCCTGCTGTTCCAAGATTCCTCTTATTGCTTCCTCTGCCAGGGTCTAGTCTTCCCATAAGTGATCTGGTTTCAAGTGTGTGGGAGGGTCTTTCCCTAAGGAGAGGAGTCCTGCCCAAGGAGGGAAGGACCCATTCAGAAACCAGCCATGTTGACCTTCACCCCTGTGTGGGGCCAATAGAAGCAGGTCTCAGGAACAGACTCTGAGCTGTGGACTTGAACTCAGGATGCTCAGGAAGCCTGCCCTGACTGCGGCCCTCAGGGCCTGGCTCTTCCCAACCACTGTATCCTGCCATCTGCATCTCACCGAAGTGCCACTTCACCTCTTGTCCTTATAACACAGACACTGTGTTAACCTTTTTTTTTTTTTTTTTTTTTTTGGAACCTGGAATTGAACCCAGGGGTGTGTTTAACACCCACATCTAGAGCCATTCTTTTATATATATATATATATTTTATTTAGAGACAGGGTCTTGCGCAAAGTTGCCTTAGGGCCTTGCTTAGCTGCTGAGGCTGGCTTTGAACTTGCAATCCTCCTGCCTCGGCCTCCCAAGCTACTGCGATTACACGTATATGCCACCGCACCCAGCTTAACTTTTTTGAACCGCTCAACTTTTTGAAACTCTCCATATCTTGCATGTAGTGGAGGCATCATTATGAACTATCCACCCTATGAGTAATGAAAGAACCCATATGGACCAAGGCTTGACTAGTCAAGCTCAAAAGCAGCCCAGCTCTCTGGGATCCCATGCTCTCAGGGAAAATAGGAGAAAGACCTGGAGCTGAGGCTGATGTGCTTCTCTTTGCTGTATGATAACCCTCTCCTCTCTGGCGTCCAGTTTGGCTCTGCTGCTGGCTGAGAATCCACCAGGGCTGACTGGCCAGCTCAGCATGTGCCATGGAAGCTGACCTCTCAGAGACAGACGAGAGTATCCAGGGAATGAGGAGGCCAAGGACTAAAAGTTACCCACACTAGCCTACTCAGCATTCTCTGAGCTCTTATTTTAAAATAAATCCAAAAATAAATCAAAGCTACATTTCCACCCTCCACCCCTAGAACTCTGAGCCTTTTTCCAGAAACACTTTCTTAGGAACCAGGGTGGACCTTGGTGGTCAGATATGGGACATGTTTCCCTTCTCCTCTTAGGAACTTCATTTAGACTGGACACTGTCTTCATATCTCCAGATGAGTCCCTAGAAGATTCAGAGATGGAAAGCTTGCCCACTGTGACTCTCTCAACGCCTGAATGATTTCACAGTTACCTACAGGGCCCCCCCAAACCAAGGCACTCACACACTCCACTTTCTGGGGAGCCAAGGCATACTGAAGCTCCTAAACTTGGTCAGTGTCCAACTCATTGCTGGTCCGGGGGGTTGCAGAGATGTACATGGCATGTCTGCCTTTCTTGCAGGGCGAACTCTGCCGGATTCACAGGAATGAACATACAGGATTCCTTCCCACCCCGGACTTCACTGGCTGTCACCTGCTGTTGGGGGAAGATCTCCAAAGGAACTGTCAACTCAAGCTGGAGAAGAAATGAGGAGCCCTAATACCAGGGCACTTCCTGCTATCTTCCCACACAGGTTCCAGCCCAATAGTGTTCCCACTGAACCCCAGAACACAGTGGGGGCTCTGCAGTGCCACATCATTGTCTAGTTGCCTCTGTCTGGAATGCCCACCCTATTTAAACCACTTCTTATTAGAATAGCACTTCCCTCTTCCCCTGAAGCCCTCTCTCATCTCCCACAATGAGAGTAATTTCTCCCTTCTCTGAGTCCAGTGCTTTAGATATTTCATCCATCCATCCAACCATTCCTCCATGCATGGATTCATCCATCCATTTGCCTAGTACTTAGTAGAAGATGTTCTGCTTGACACCCGCAGATACAATAGTGGAGGAAATACTCAGACCTCTGGGCTTAGCCCCTAGGTCAGAGCTTGTCTGCCGGGTCTCTTTGGGCAATGGGGAAATTAGAAGCACCCCATGGTGGGTAGACTGTGCTGCAACGTCATTCCTCAGCATGAGTTCAGTGTTTGCTGCCTTCCCAGTGATGTTCTGAGCTTCAAAATGACAAAGTCAGGGCAGGACAAGGTCCCTCCAGGTTGGCTCCAAGGATGACTGACCTGAGTCACCACACAGGTCCCCGTACTTAGAAGGGCCCCTCCATGATTTAATGTTCTGATGTCACTATCTTACGATTCTTCGTAATTTGTGAGCAACAGTCACTGTTTTTATTTTGTCACATCATAGAACAATCTGGGTGGCTCTGGTTTTGTTTTGTTTTTTTTTTAAGGACTTGCATTCAGGGGGATGAAGGTGGGTGCAGACAATCAACAAGCAAATGAAGTACCAAAACACTTCAGACAATTATAGGTGCTGAGATGGAGAGCTGGAGGAAGTGCTACTCAGACAGGAAAACCAAGGCTGGTGAGAAGGGTTTCCCCACTGGAGTGGAGCATGGTGGAGGATACAGTCCCAGGCAGGATGAAGCAATAAATTGATTAACTCCATTGGATGCCTAGATATCTGGAGGTGTGGGCTGGTGGGAATTTCGTCCCACCAGGAAAATACAGAGATTAGGAAATGGGAATTCCTACTGCTTTCTTCCCCATGCAGCAAGAGGGAGGAGGAACACTCAGGAGCATGCACTCCCTAATCCCTAATCCCACCTGCTTCCTCTTCCCAGCCTCACTGAGAGGCCACCAGGAGGCTTTCTGCTTCTGGCAATTTTTTTTTTTTTTTAGATTATGTCTTGCTAAGGTGCTGTGGCTGGCCTGGAACTTGTGATTCCTTAACCTCCCAAGTAACTGGGATTCTTCTGTCTCAACCTCCCAAGTCACTAGGCTCTTCCCTCCTCAGCATCCCAAGACGCTGGAATTGCAGGTCCGTGCCAGTGCACCAGGCTCTTGGAACTTTTTGGTCCAGGTATGTGGTGTCTCTGGCCTGAGAATTGGGGACAAAGACCCAGCAGGTTCCTCCTGTGCAGACCCTCTTCCACTTAAGTCTCCAGTGTGGTCCCCAATGTGGTGTCCCCGAACACTTTAAGCTTTCTGCTGCCTCCTTCTTTGATGGGAGAAGTTGTAAACTAATTCGCACAAGACTGATGTGTCCTTGAGGTTTCTGCAGGGGAATGGTGTGCTGTGCCCTTTGTCAGGGCCTTGTGTCAAGTAGGCCACTTGTTGTCCTGCTTATGGACAGGGTCACGCCATTGGACCCTCAGCTGGCCACCTCGTGGGGGAGTCAGAGAACATAAAGACCGCATTATCCGCCACAGCGATATGTTCATGTGGAGCCAAGCACCATGAGCCAACACACACAGGAGCACTGTCACCTCCTCCAGGCGGTCTTCCATAATCAACAAGCTCAGTGTATCCTCGATACCCTCTGTCACGCAAGTCTCTGATTCTCTGCTGTTGCACGCAATCACGGAAGCCCAGCTGCAGGACTACAACATGCCAGAAAGAACGGTCTTTCAGGACAGAGCCCTCAGGCGTGGCAATCCCCACCGGGGGGCCACTTAGCACTGGTGAGCACGGTGGCAACAATACCCACTGTGCCTGTGCGTGTAGGACCCAAGAAGGAGACCCGTCAACCCAACAAG